AAAAAAAAAAAAAAACGAAATTACGGTCGTTAAACAAAAAAAAAAGGAAAAATTGAAGCAGAAAGCAATGAAATGTTTTTAATCACTGCCAAAATGAAAGAAAATGAATTGAATGGAATAATTCATATTGAAAGGATCACTAATTTACTATTATGTCTCTCTAAAATTATTGCTGATAATTTTAAATTTTAAATGTTTCATTCTTTTTTTTCGTTTTATCAATAGTACTATGTAATTGTATAATTGGGAATTTGTAAAATTAAGTAGTGAAAATTTTCAAATATATTAGTTAATATAAATTCATTAAAAATATTTTATAGAATCATTCTTGCTGATTTTTCCACTTTCATTTACTATTTAATATAATAATATCAGTAATCAGTATCAGTAATAATAGTATCATCCATCATAATGTAACAAATGAAAAATTAGCCGAAATTAATCATTGTAAAATTTAAAAAAAAAAGCAAATAATAGTCAAATGGTGCAATCTAAAGGTAAGAAAAAGTGTTTTATATTATTTATTATTACAATTTCAAATTTGTCATGAGAATTTGTAACAAAGAAATGGAGGAAAATTATTTTCTTAAATATAATAGAAAATGAAATTTTGAAAGAAATTAAAATACTACCATATGCATTTAAAAATCTAATTCAGATGAGTTTGTGATTCGAAAAAAAACTTTTTTTTTCGTAATCATAAAAAAATTGATTGATTATTACCGTGTCAGTTACCATTATTATTTTTAATTTTATTCCTCATCAAATACTATTTAACATTCGGACCATTTTTTTTTGGCATAAAATGATTTTCTTCAAAAATGGCATAAAATAATTAGGCTGAATAAATATTTCACTCAATATTTTTCATATTAACTTATATTTTATTGTTGATAAATTCTACAAACCAAATTATAGAAAAGAAATGAGAGAAAAAAGAGGAGAAAATATGAGGAATAAATTTTTTTTTTAATATGAAAAATAAATGGTTTATATTCAAATCAATAGGAATATCTTTGTTTTTTTTTTTTCTTCTATCTAATCCATACTTTTACTATCATTTCTTTTTAAATTACTCTCACGGTTAGTTCGGTTTGTTATCATACTTTTTGTTTGCAAAAATTAAATTATTTCTTTTTTTCTTCTTCTTCTTTCTCCAATCTGCTAAATTTCCCTTTCATGTTACCGCTTGTTAATAGTATACATTACATGA